TGTGTGTGTGTTTACAGGACCTGCGTCTCCACCGGTGCCCCTGCCGAGGAAGAAGAAGCCAGAGCCCAGGCCGCGCTCAGTGCTGAGCACCGTCCCGAAAGCAGTGCATCTGGTGCCTGTACCACGGCCCCGCAGCAAGCTGTTTGAGGTGTGACATCAGTGACTTACTGTATCCAGTGAAATATTACACCTGGGTTTATCAGATTACCTCCTCAACCTAGCCATTTAAAGATTATTTGTGTGTCAAGTCACTTTTCTAGTCTGTATTAGAGCTAATCATCTAATCATCTAATCACCCCCTAATCATCATCATTCATTCGTTCATTCACATAAAACACAGTGTTATAAATAGTAAGTAGTCAAATTTATAATACCGTATTGACCCGAATATAAGACGATGTTTTTTTCTTGGAAATACATCTGAAAAAACGCGGTCGTCTTATATTCAGGGTCTAGACTTTGACATGTCAATAATACACCCACAACAATAGGTGGCGCCAAATACGCATAAAACGAGTGTGCCATGAAATACGTAATATAATGCGTGTTGTAAAGATCGCGACCAAACTCCCTTTGTGATTTTAAAACGTAAGACAGTACCCAGATTTGAAGACTACAGTAAGATTTAACTTCTACTGTTAATAAGATTTTGGTAGGCTACTATTAGATGGATAGCCTAAGTGTCCTAATTCAGATGGGCTACCTGTTTTTCTTTTTTTTAATGGTATATCAAAAAGTGTATATTTTTTAAATGTGATTGTTGGTACATTTTACCAGTTTTTACCATACTTTCAAAACAAAAATTCAAATAGGAAAAATATGCAATATGAAAATAATTGAAGACAAAATGTGTTTTACTGAGAAAAAACAAGATTTGGTTTTTAAAAAGCCTTTTTCCAAAATGTACATCTGGAAAAAGGGGGGTCGTCTTATAATCAGGGTCGTCTTATATTCGGGCCAATACGGTAATAATAATAATAAGTACATTCATACAAATAAATAATAATAAGTATTATTATATTGAAAAATATTATATTATTATTAATAATAATGTTATATTTTATTCATACGAAATATTTTTTGTTTACTATTTATTATTATTAGCGTTAGAAATAGTAAGTAGTCACATTTATATTATTAATAATAAATTATTACGTTCATATAAACAATATATAAAATATATGATGATAATATATTGAAATAAATTGTTATTATTATTAATAATCATTTTAGCATATTTAATTCATACAAAATGTTTTTTATAAATTTACTATTTATTATTAGTTTTATTATAAATTGTCATATTAATAATAAATACACATTATTAATTAAAAAAAATAATAATACTTTTATACAAATAATGCATATAATAATAATAATTATTATAATAATACATAATACTATTATTATTGGTTTAATTATTGGTTTGGTTTGGTTTTATTTTATTACTATACTATGCAGAAAATAATATGGCCAATTCTAATTATGTTGTTTTTGTGTTTGTTTTATAATTTATTTAATTAAAATAAAACCAAAATTGACCTCATTTACTTTCTTAAAATGTGTTTCTCGCATGTAAATCTCTGTGTGACCTGTAATAGGCCACATTACAAAAGTGAAATGAATTGGGAATGACATTTCGTTTTGACTTTAAGCAGTATTGTTTATTGTTGTTGTATACTATTATTTATTATATATAGTTTTTTAAATATTTTCAATCAGTTTTCATTATTAGATTTTCCATATAAGAGAAAGGAAAACTTGAAATCGCATCATATGACCCCTTTAATAATTTGGTTGCGTTTTCATAATTTCTGTTTGGTTTTTTTTAGATGTCCATATAGTTTTTATTAATTTCATTTCAGTTCATATTAGTTCTTGTAGTACTTCAAATTAAACTAAACACAAATGTTGCCTTGGTAACTAGCTGAAATAAAATATTTCTATGTATTTTAATTCAGTTAACGTTTATTTAATTTCATTGTTTTATGGTTTGTTTTGTTATGGTTTTAGTTCACAGTAATAACCCTGACTTTTAAGTCTCATACTGGTTTTCGTTTTATTTTGTGGTCAGGCGACTCCGTTTGATAACGAGTTGAATGAGAACGTTCACCTGGATGCTTCTCTGATGCTTCAGCCGATCGATGAAGAGCGAATGAAAGAGAAACACCTGAAGAAGACCAACACCATCCGCTGGTTCAGAGAGACGCAGGTGCGTAAGCTGACCAGAGACGGCAGCTTCCCCAGCTGGTTCCACGGCATGATCACGCGCAGGTCAGCTTCAGCACCCACGCAAACTCATATCAGCATCCAGGGATTAAAGTGTTCTGTCGCTACGACGGATTTCCGTCAGTTCATAAAGACAGTAGGTGCGTCCCAAATCGCGTACTTATGCACTATTCTATGACGTTTTGTAGTATAAATAGTGCGAGTAGTGCGTTCACACTGAAAATTCCAAAAAGAAAAAGTGCACTTTAAATACCCGGATGATGCACTTAAATAACCGAAAAAATGAAGTGTGGAATGTTGGACACTTCATGCACTCAACTGTCACAGCTTTAATTATGTAGCGAAGGGGGAGGGGTTATCAGACTCCGATTATGAATGACAGAATAAACTTTTATAATTCATACGCAGCATGGTTGAGTACATAGTGCATAAGTGCATAGTGTATAAGTGCATCATTTGGTCTCTTTTACACTTGCTTCATTCCTGAATGATTCAGCCGTTCGAATTAATCAATTGAATTAATGATTCAGTGATAAAATCAGTGACTTGCCGCCACCTGCTGGCGGATTTAGTTACATTTTTAGCCTATAATTTCAGTCAGGAGCGCTTGTCCTCCTAATTTAAAAATTTAGGAGAACCTTCTGATCAATAATCAAAAATTAGCCTTCCTAATACGAGGTGACATTTGACTCCTTAAGGTGACTTACAGGAGTATTTTCTTTTTACCTTTGTAATGCATTTTCATCTGTCAAATTCAAACATTTATGTTTATAAGCTTTTTAAAATTTCTATTTAAAACACAAAAGACAAAGAAGTTACCAATCATATGAAATTAGTATTCATAAATTAATTTATACTACAGAGGTGGCACAAAAGAACACAAAAGGTACATTTCCAGACGTTTAATGAGGCTCAGAGGTGGCATGAGTGCAATTACATTCATAGATTAATGTGGCGATTAATGTTTTAAATGTAAAATTTTGAATACAGAAATATTAAATAATTTAAATAACTGAAATTATAGTCTAAAAATGAAACTAAATCCGCCAGCAGGTGGCGGCAAGTCACTGATTTGATCACTGAATCATTAATTCAATTGATTCGTTTGAACGGCTGATTCATTCAGGAATGAAGCAAGTGACTGTCTTTATGAATGGGTAATCATGA